CGCCAGACTCGAATATACCTACACAGTAAGTACCTACACGTGTTAGGAATCACACGTTAAAAGGTAAGACCTCGTTAGTCGTTAGCTCGCACAAGTTTCTCAACTTCTGAGAGTTGTCGTTCGTATCGGGGCAGCACCTGATTAACGGAAAAACAGATTTTTTTTTAAACAGTAGGTTGAATGGACTTTATGTCTTTAGGACTTTAGGTCGATGATGCACTGATGAGTGGCTAATGAGCCCGAAACCGGTCTGCAAGTGTGCCCGTTCCAAAATTGAAGATCGACTCTTTCAGTTGTATTGCCAATTGCATATGCAGGAAATTTTCTGTGAAGATTCCTGCACTGACGCCTGTCGGATATAATCCAACGCTCTTCTTGGTATTATCCAGGGGAGTAGTTGTTTTCTGATAGGCGTCAGTCCATTCAACCTACTGTGTAGGTATATCTGAGACTGGCTTGAACGTTCAAAGTTTATTTCTTTAGAAATGATTATCTATTCTGGATCATTCAATTGAAAGGTAGATATATATTTATTCACCGATTCACATACCACTGGCACATTTGTTGCATGTCGAAGTTGTAATTGAAGTGAATTAAAATAATTAAAAATCTCTGAATTGTATCTTATAAACTTCTAGATACGGTACCTATATAGACATACATACATATATACATAGACTCAGATCACACCCAAATTACATAAAAAAATAGGTACATATTGACCACGTTAAAATAGAAAATGATGGAATATTTATATCTATTTGAAATGCAATGGACATATTTAAAACGTCATCAATAGAATAGTAACAGTACACACCATGATACCAATAATTGTTGATTTTCACTTGAGATAAGCTTGAGTCTGTTTGCGGTGAACCAATACTCTGTCCTTTCTAACGAATATTCAGCATATTTCCACAAAGTCCTTATTATCATTGATGAAAGTAATGCCATCGGCAAAAAGACTACTTCTTATAGGTAGATATGCCGTTTAAAAAACAAGGGCTGAGCCTTGAGATACACCGTATCCAGTATGTGGTTACCAGATTGACAACTGAACCAAGGTAAAAAATATACTTTGAAATGATCTTGAAAAAAAGAGGAAAGTTCTTACTTATTCTATCCTTGTTTTCGGGGAAGCCAACACAAATTTTATACATATCTTAGTTACAAAGATTTTTAATTTGATCTGTAGTATATTTAAGTTATTAATGTTTTGTTGAGTTTGATGGTTCATGATGTATATTCAGTGTTTCTGACTGACTCCATGATTTTTTTCCTTCTGGAAATACAAATGCAATTATATTCAAATTCAATGTTTTCCAATTTTTGTTATATGACTTGCTACAAATGTAATTTACATGAATGTAGTCAAATAAAGTATGTCTATGTCTAAGTGGTAGACCTAAACAGTGCACTATTTTCCATGCACTATTTTCCATAGAAAAACAACTTGATAACCAGTTTGCTATGATTATTACTTATTGAACTTCAATGAAAACTGGTTTTGGGTGAGGATTGTCTAAAGTTTTGTGACTCAATTCTATTTAGATGGTATTGTCAACCACCTAAAACGGTGCTACGATATGTATGAAAATATTCAAAGAACCTCGATACTAGATTAAAAACCAAACTGTATTACATTAGGGACTCTCCAAAAGCATTGGCAAATACAAAGTTATCACATTGATTATTTTAATAATAATTGTAATAATGGCCTTGACTAATGGCTTTAAAGAACGAGGGAAGTTAATAATTATTCCATCCTTGTTGTCAAGTGAATTGACAGAAATATATGGGGTGGCAATGGTAAAAGCACTAAAAAACGAAAGAATATAAAAAATATTGAACAGAAGTCGTTTTTTGTGAAGGCAAAATTATTGAATACAACAAACTACTGATGAATAAAACATTTTTCTTAGTGAAAAATACTTTGATTTTATGCAGTAACTTATTGGGGTAAACTGAATAGTTTGCTACACTTCTTTCTACAATTTTTCAGATTGTGGAAGGCAACAAATACCCAAAACAAGGTCGATGAAAGTCTTATTTGAGTATAGAATGTGGCACCAGACGACCCCATAAAAGTCATTTCAACACCAATATGATGTTATAATGATGGAATATATTTGTCCACAACTCAATTACGTCGAATGCAAGGATGTGTGAGCGTGATTAGACGCTGCTGAGAGTTGAAAACATGAACATTCGAAGCTGAAAAATTAATAGAAGGGATATTGTGAAGCGATGCAAGACATAATTGGTTTGAAAAAGTTCTCATCACACCCATCATCACTCATGACTTCACATGATCTTGAGTCGCACCTCACACAGTCTTGAACATGACCTGCAATGTGCGGTGCGAAGTTCGATATCAATGATCATCACTTTGTCACCTTTTGAAGTTCGAACTTGAATATTGACTTCGAACAACGTATCATGATGGACAGTAGGGTAGAAGCAGCCCCATTCCTTCTACTAAAATAAAAGTCAACATCACCTCCTACCAACACAATTTTGAAGTTACACCCCACTACCACTCGTACCGTTACATAAACCTGAGTTATACATACCTTTCTCATTTATACTCGAAGTCCGGCGGTCACGTATTCAGCTTGTATAGGTCGAATGGGTCACTACCCATCGAAAGTACACCTCTGTTGTGTTATTGAAATTTGAGCAGCTGTCACTAGCAGCTAGAAAATTGGCTGCTTTCGTTAATTTCTATTAACGACAACTGTATATGACATTCTAGCAATCACAGACCTTGAGACAATTTTGATATTCAGGTGGGACACCATTTATTGATTGTTTCATTCATCAATATCAATCATTCACATGTCGATATTATCAGTGCTTATACCTTGGTGTGTGCTGGAAACTTAATTGCGCGTCTCGAACTCTATTTTGATGTCGACAGTGGATGACTTCTTGGCATTGTGTTGAACCACGAGAGCTACAAGTAGTCCTTAAAGGTGTTCTCATCAACAACAAAATTGACTGGTTTTTTCGAATTATCATATTGTTGTAACGGGATAAATCGACACCTAAATTATTTATCATATAATATGGAGAATATCATCAACTCTATCATAATATTTTTTATTCACAACAAATATACATTGCAGAAGCTGTAATTCAAATTGGTAATAACACGATATCCCTCATTATTCTGTCACGACAATATTCCACTGCACTGGATGAAGGTCACAAGCACGGTGATTTGAGGTTGAATTAATGAAATTATCGATGGATATGGTCTTTCGGTCAGTTAATCTCCGAATCTGCTTAGCCATCAGCCGACAAAAATCATTTGGGCTCGCTCTCTCTCCATCTCGAGAGTGGACCGTCTGAAAAAAATGAAAAGTTATGATGTAGGTTCGTTTGGGCTGAAAGACAAGTGTTCAGGAAATATTTTTTCATTCTAGTTGCAGACCATTATGAACGTTACTCACCTGTTAGCTGATGATTGTCCAGTTGTGATCCGATTCCATCGCTTTTT